CCAAGAGTTGGCGGTGGGTGGTGATGACTAGCTGTCTTCCCTCTAGTCTTACACTGATAAATTAGGGACGACTAGCGCAGATTGCCCTCGTGTAGCTTTGCGCAAAATTCAAAAACAAACAAACGTATACACAGTGTGTGTGTGTGTATACATATATATACTAATTATTTGTATCATGTATTTTTGCTACTTTATATTTCACTGACTTTAGAAAGGTAAGAAAATTGTTAATCACAAAACTACACAACAGGTTATCTGTGCTTTGCCCGCTACGGGTATCGAAATCTGATTTTTAGCTCTGTAAGGCCTCAGACTTACCACTAGCCACTAAGGAGCTTAAAAAAATGCAGCAAAGTGATTAGGCTTATCTTCTTAAAATATCTACACCGAAAAAAAGGGTTAATCTATGACCTTGAGCACATTTAGGTACTAGAGTAATATACAGATTAACTGCATGTTAGTAAGCTTATAAAATAGTCATTTAAACTACAGTGTCGTCTCGTAGGTAAGCCACTAATCATGTTTCGTTCAGCTACCGACAGCCTCGCTGTGCAGCCATCCTGCTCTATCATAGTAGTTCCTTACACGCCCTGTGGTTGGTATCCATGCTTACCGGTGTCAAAAACATAGTGTTTCGGGAGCTAGTTAAGGTTTTTAAGACCTCGCGACGTTTTATTACCTCATTCATTGACTATATATCAATCAGCCCTTGTGTAGCGATTCCTAGTAAACCTGTCACACAGACGAACTGGTTGCTACTGGTGGAAAAAAAGTGTGGGAATCTCGCCAGGAATTGTTTTACGACTATCGGGATTAGATCGCCGCAGCGTGCCGGGCTTCTAACCCTACGGTAAACTCGGCCTTTCACTACGGTATAACTTGTCATTTGAACAAGAACAATCCTTCCAGCCGCTGTTAATCGAAGTGTCCTGCCAGCATGGGTGGCCACTGCTGCCTCAGGCCGATCACGAAGGACAAGCATGTACATCGTCCACCTGCATTTCAAGTTCTCCTTCAGAAACATTCACTAGAAATATTGCATGAGAATGAAACCTCGATTCTTCTTTTTTTTCGCATTTGCAGAACATCTAAACCTCTTATATTCCTTTTTTCATAAAAGTAGCTCCTTGGTAAGGAATAGGTTTTGAAAGGAGCGAAAAAATCACACCGAGTTCTCGTCAGAGCATTTCTACATAACCAAAATAAGTCGACATCAGACTCAATTATGACCTATTGCCTCATTGAAACAAAAATGTCCTTCAAAGGCTAAGACAAACTGGAAGGTGTGAAAGCTGTTTTACGACCATCCTAAATACAATAACAGAGCAATTCAGTTTGAATAATGAATATATTCCAAGCTGGATACAGCGATGTACATGGTTATTCGTTTCAAACCTGTGTTTAGTAGTAGTATCACAGCATTTCACACTACATCACTGATTGAACTCTGATTATTAAAAAGTTACAGGTTAAAGTTTCAGTTCATAGATTTACTTTTTCTTAAGTTCGCCAACACTTAATCAACTTCCACAAGAGCATAATTATAGGCCTACTTAGACGGCAGATTACAAACACTGTAGTATCTGAAAACAAACGATTCTAGAAAACACATTTCATCCTGCCCTTAGATGTGGCACAAAAATTAACAGGAATTATTAATACAACACCAATGTATGAGTACATGTTGTATTATACAGTAGCTTAATACTGAACTATTTACTGAATTTACTGTTAACTCCCAATACTTTTCTACATTTTTTCCAATATTTATGCATAAACGTTTATGTTTTTGTACAATATCGAAAACTGGAATTCGGTTTCAATGCTCGGTTTGATTAGAGAAAAATCTGAAGTGTTGCAAATACCAGTTCTTTAAACTTGAAAGAAACAATTTTAACGTTTTTTTCTGGATCCCGTGTTTATACTAAAGCTGCATAGAAACAGAGTAAGTGAGAAATTAAAAAAGTCGTATATCAATAATGATTGTGGTAAACACTGAATATCCCACTTTTCACAAAGTGTCGAAGTTTTATAAGACTTGTATCATAATCTAAGTAAAACTGAGTCATCGCTTTAATCATTTAATCATACAAAGAAATTACACAGTTTCTTAACAGATCACTTGCATATTTAAGATATATTTTACGTGCTGGGCAGGAGCAAAAGTGTTCAATTCTTCATGATTTCCCAAACCGCACTCATTATTGCACACTTTCATCATATTACATTTCGAGTTACTAACAAGCAAAAAAATCGGCTTTGAGATTTTTATTTTGAATAGAAGCTTCTTTGGAAAGTATGATTTCAAAAATTTGAAACTTAAGTCTTCCTTTTTTATTATTCCCTAATTCAAAATAAAAGTTCAATACTAAATGTAATACATTTTCCATTTAACTCTTAAACGCTTGCGTTTTTTTCTACATATTACAATTTAAAAAATCAAATTCTTCAATGTTTTTGCTAAACTAACATTTACTAAAGAACACAAAAGAGCTATGATATATTGATATACATCAAGGTTTATGTATAATTCATACTTTTGCTCTTTTTTATTCTTGCTCTATTTTTATTGGATAATACTCGTGGGATCTGTGTTTTTAGATTATAATAAATAATTATCAATGCAACTCTTTAGGCGACTATCTATTTCATATACACACGGTTCTCATTTGGCACACACAAAAATTGTCCCTTAGCTTAATAATATTTACACCAGTTTTCAGAAGTGTAATTTCGCTATATCAAGTTCACGATTGCTTTAAAGTATTATAATTCTTTCTTAAGAGTATACTTTACCTCATTTTAAATTTATAGCTTAGTGTGTTCTTTACAAATTATTTTACTATTTTGATAGTTATATCATTCATATTTTTTCGAATAAATTTAAGAATAGATTTTCACATCTACTTCCTGAGTAATCAACACAAATTTAAACCCATAATTAAAAGTCAATCGTAAAATATTTGACGCTCAGGTATAGTTTTATATCAATATATATATAATTATTTCTCTGTTAAATAACAATCTTTCGAAAACGACTTCAAAACACGTTTACTATTTTGAATTGAAATGAAATACAACAACACCCCCATTGTACGTCTGAAGGTATCGAGCGTGGATTCAAATCTATAATTGTGTTCTTCCGTTCTTTCCTTCCAGCTTTACAATTGTTATATAAAGGACGAAAACTAGGTGATAGTGTTTTCCAACACTAATAGAGCAATAATTACTTTCTCAACGTTAATATTGAAAAAAAAAAGAAAGTTCTTTGTCCAGACCATCTTGTTATAACAGTTTATGTCACAAAAGCTTTTCTTGAATATTTATTGAAGATTCTTGTACATAAACCCTGTTCGGTTTTCTTGTTATGTTTTGTTGTTTGGGTTATGATAAATGCACTGAGCCTATGTGTAAATCAGTGTTTATAAAACGACGGAAGATGCTTAGAAGTAATCGTAACTGTTACTAAACTACAAACAATTGGAACGTACAGCCAATTCAATTTGAAGTCATATTTACTATTACTAAACTACAAACGATTCGGAAGTACAACCCATCCCTCTTGAAGTTCCAGAAGTCATTTACAAAAGTTCATTTAGTGCTATTAATCTATAAAACAACTGAAACGTAAACCCCCTCCCTGGTGTTCTCTTTATTCTATATTAGATAATGATAAGATTACTCATTGTTTACGCTAATTATTGGTTCATAGCTGTAAATAGTTGAGTTTTCCTTGTTCACTAAGTTTTCAGAAATTCTGAACAATTCGTAGCAGTTTATTTTACAGTTTTTCATTGTGGAAAAGCAAATATCCACCGAACTAGGTCATATTAAGCTGAGCATGCATTGGATATATCATCTTTTATTAATATCAGCAATGGTGTGATGAAACAAATCCAAATCACTTGAAAACACGCAAAAGTTTGCAGTATTACAAACTCTTCACCCCAGGGTAGTAATGGATGACCATTAAGACATATTATGAGTTTTGCCTAGTTTAGCTGCATGGATTCTTGTCAGTCGACGGGAGACTAATGGACCAGCCTACCTTGGTATTCCTCGCACCTGCGGAGGTACGACCAACCAATGGGCGGGCTCAACTACGATAGCTGAGACAAATCAGGACTGTGGTTGCCCTCAGGAAAGCTACTGTTCCATTCAAAGTAGGGTAAAAGAATCGGATGAAGTGATTATGTTCTGGCCAGTTGAAAAAGTCGGTGTCTTTAATGAGTTAGTCATAAGCCAGAATAATTCTTGTCCAGTTCAAAGAATAGAAAGCTGTCTTAATCCATAACCTCGTCTGGAAGTTGCCTGCTCGTCGTGACTGATTCCTATCGTCCAGTTACAGATACTTAATCGTCAGTTTGTTATTCTGACAATAAGTTGTACTGTACACAGAAATTTTGGGTTCAGTATATTAAATTCCAAAACATCAACATATTTTCTTGTTGATTCAGTAGCATTGTCATTTGAACTTCGATCTCCTCTAAAAAAAAAATCAAATAAGTGTTCCTCAACTGTCGTTAACTCAACTTCCATACACTAACGTTCTTCATGGACATCTCTTCCATGGTGGCTGCCTCTAATACTTTAAACATCCGTCCAATGTTCACTGGGTATCCGTTCCAAGGTATGTGAATTCCCATTATCTTTAAGTGTTTCTTTTCTTTTTAGCTTTGTTTTAAGTAAGACCTGCGCGAATCCATTGTTTTTGTGTATTATTTAAAATATAACAGTTTGTAATATCCAGAAACTTGAGCGCTTCCAAATAGCTAACTGTTCTTCTTTAAGAATATTATTAAGTATTTTACAACTTTTGTTGGTGCTGACTTTATGTGCTTTGTTTAGAGTTGTTGAAGAGGTAAAAATGAGGTAAAACACGGAAGCTTATCTTAAAATCATATTCAATGTGCATGATACAAAAATCATAGAATATTATTTCATTGCTTTCCTATTTCTTAAAACGTTAAATGAATATGGAAAGAACTAGTGTACATTTAAAGTAATAAAACACACAAAAAGAGTAATATTTCACATAGTTTTTTTATCACACTTATGATTCCATAAGTTCTTTCCTTATATAGAGAAAAATATGTGTGTATATAAGCGATTATGATTGTACACGGAGGTTTAATGTTGATGATGGAATTAAAATTGAAACACGCCGACAGTTACCTTCAAATAAAGAAACTTATATGTTCAACTTTTACAACTGTAATTTAATGAAAATCGAGTTAGCTGAGACATGATTAAAGTTATTCAAATAGCTCGTGTTGTTCTACATTATTGCAGTCTTTGTATTCTATACGAATGATTGTATATAATTAAACAACAATTTTTGTGTGAAGAAACTGTATTTTTAATGATAATAAACCTGCAATTCAACATTAGCAGTCATAAAAACTACTTATATTAATATGGTAATATTGAACCAAGAGGAAAATATCTGGTTGATCAATATATGATTTTTATCAATTGCATTTTTAAATTTAACTTAATTTGCTGAATTAAACTTTGTGATAATTATTAACTAGGTAAAAATCACGGAAACATGACATGTAATTACAAATGTTAAAACGTTTACTTGTGAATTGACAAGATCCTGTTTCTAATCTGCGTGTGATAAATGAGCTTCCTGTTCAAATGTTCGTCCACAAATGACGTTTAACAGCTACTTTGCAAGAAAACCCCTGGGAACCCCACCTGTAACAAACGTTTTAGATTTATTACCACTAGTTTTCTAATTAACCCCTTGACTTCCTGAAGTATCAATTTCACAACTTGTAGTGTCAGAAAGATATGATTAGAATTATTACCCGTTGTGGTTAGTTTCGAATATTTTGCAAAATACTAATAGAAAAACAGATGCGTGAATTGTAAGATAAATAGATAGATTCAAGTTATACACTTAAGAATTTTCCTCATAAACCACTTAGGATTTCTAATGGTTGTTCGCGCTGTCGAGCATACTCGCCTTTTCAGCCGTGGGGCGTTATAATGTGGCGGTCAATTCCTCTATTCGTTCATAAAGAGAAGTCTAAGACTAGTAAGAGTTGGCGATGTTATTAACTAGCTGCCTCCCCTCTAGTCTAGACTATCAATTCCAAAATTAGGAATGGATAGCGTAGATACTCCTCGAGTAGCTTTGCGCGAAATTGTAAACAAAAATCTATGGGTTGTTTATATCGACAATAGTGGTCTGAATTGACTCATATCTGATAATACGATGTTTTACTATAGCATTCACTGACTATGTTAGTGAAGATATTTCTTGTAGCACTGTGTGAAATACTGATTAATTTTAACCAGGCTAGAAATGAAAGAAATTACTGTGGATGTTCAAAACCCAACAAAACATTTGGTACACTACCGTCCAAATGTGGCCGGAAGTGGTTAGACTTACGATGTTGTCTTCATTTAGCTTCCTTTCGAAGAATCTGTGTACACCAATATTGTGTGATGTTCAAATAACACCATGATATCAGAAGTTCATACAAAATCCCCCTCCTTCTCTTGTCACATTTGATTTGTAAAACACTCTTCGATACAAAGTACCGTTAATTAAATTGCTTAACTGTTTTGATACATTGTGTGTGTGTGTGGGGGGGGGGTTATGTTATAAGACGTTTTGGAGAAGAGAGAAGGCAAGAAAAAGACAAGGGGCTTAGTCTGTAAACTTTCATGTGACCACTTCATTATCAACGACATACTTGAAGACAAAACTTTATTATAATCAACATGAAAATGTTACTGTTCTTTAAAATGTTAGGTAACAACACTTGAAGTTCAAGATAACAGCTAGCGTTTGTGTTTTCCATAATTAAGGTATACTTTATTCTTTCTTTAATGCTATATTCATTAATAGTATCGCTTAGAAGTTATAATATATCCTGTCCTACTAGTTTTGATTTTATGTTATTTTACTTTTATCAAAGAAATCATTATGCATTGTTAGTTTATTATATGAAAACTCGAATCATTTGTTCTTTTACAAATTTATCATACTTTTATATTTAACTGGTTTCGTAGCATAACTGCCTACTCTCCAATATAAAGGCTGTAAAAAACCAGAAAACAACTAAACACTTCTTTTGAAAAGTATTAAATTTTAGTTTAAAATTAATATGTAATATACAAATTTTATTTTTCAATTAATTTTGTCAATCTTATATTCTATTACTTTCTGAAGATTTTTAAAAACTCATGTTACAAAATAATTTATTTTATTACTAACGTTTCAAATCAAAACCTAATTAAAAACTCATTAAATTAACATCGATATCAAAATAGTTTTAACATTAACGACAAAATTACTTTGATATATTACCCAAATTTACATATATTCTTTTGAAAAATACTTTACTTACTTTGTTGAAGTTATCCACAGTATACCGAATCCATTTAAAATGCGCGCAAAAACCACTGGATCCTTATTTAGTAAACATATCGCCTCCTAACGGTTTTCAATTAGAATTTAAAGAAGCGTTAAACCATCAATAACGCATTTTCAAATATTAATCTTTTTTTCTTTTTCATCACAATTCCAATAACTTTGAAAAAAAAAGATAAATTCAATAGGTTTGCAAACTGGTATTACAGAAATGAAAATGTTCACTTACTGGGAGGTAAGAGTTTTCCGGATTTCTAACATGATACCTATGTAAATTAATTCTAGTTTGTTTTTAATTAAGCACAAAGCTACACAATGGGCTCTTTGCGCTCTGCCCACCATGGGTATCGAAACCCGGATTCTAGCATTGCAAGTCCGCAGACTCGAATTAATATATAGATCTTGGGTAATGCATGATAGTAATTTTGTTAAAGTTGAAAATGTTTTAATGTTGATGTTAATCTAAATACTTTTTTAATTAAGTTTTGACTCGAAACTTATTTTGTAACCTGTGTTTTTTAATCTTTAAAAGTTAAAAAGATATATAAAATTTTAAAAACTTTCAATTTAAAGTAAAATTTGTGTATTTCATATCAATTTAAATTTTCCTTTTCAGCGTTTATTTGCTTTCTGGTTTTTATACCGAATAGTAGGCTGCTTTGTTACGAAACTGGTTAAATAAAGGATTTTGATAAATATAGCAAAGTTTGGTAAAAGAAATGAAGTATTCGAGTTCTTTTTATACATGTTCATCTTGAAGTAAAACCATCTTGTTTTCAAACTAGCATCAGCTTTGACACGATTAGGGATATATATGAATGAAAGGTATTGGTGAAGCTCTTTGTCCTACACTTACGGCGCCATTCCTTCGTGATTTATTTCTATAAAAGTTAAAGGATGCGTTCCATGATACTTTACTGTCAACAACTTCATTTAAAAGTATTTTATCTTAAGTCAAGGTAGACATAATTAATATAAAATATATTTGAAACATTCTATGTATCTGGATAAAGCATTATTTAATTACTCATCTATTATCTTAGCACCACTAGACTGTAAAACTGTTAATAATAAAAAATGGCGAAATAGGCCTCAACATGAGTAGAAGTGAATATCCTGAAAGTCTTTGGAACTTTGGTGACAAGAAACACAATGAGCGGATCACCCTCGTGTATACCTACTTCAAAATAATATAACTTTAGTTGAGACACAGTCAGCTGTAACGCAAACAATACTCTTATAATAAAAAACTTCTGAAATTAATATAAAATCAACAATACTTTCTTCACTTCTTTCTGACACCATAGTAATACGTCTTGTAAATGTAAGGGGGCGTGTTTTTTGTCACTAGTAGCTCAAATTTATGACAAGTGAGAGTAAAAAATATGAAACAGTGTTATTGTAGCTTCCATAAAAATTTTGAGACGGTTTTACAAGTGAGTTTAAATCACATCTTAACTTTTAGGTCACCATCTCTATTTTTCAAGCATTTTCGCGTCATTTTTAAATCGAACTTTCAATATTTCTCTCCACCCCCTAAATCTAAGAAAGTTGACACGTATTTTCTTCTTATTTCTTAGTAAGGTTTGATACTTTATAAACGTAATTAAAGCTCTGTAAAATATCTGCGTTGAAAACCGCGTGGAGATTCTTTGAAAAGTTTGATGTTAAATACACGAACTTCGCCATAACCAAAAATGAGCAGACTTATATATGTTAAAATTTATTCTTAAAATATTTGTAACCTTATATATATATATATATCATGTTTGAACTTAAATAAACTGTAATAATTCTGATCATCAGATTGAAGCCTAATCGTATTATATTTAAAGAACAAAGAGTTTTGCATTCACCAGCAGCGGACTAATATTTACCATAAGGTGACACTCAACCACTTGTCAAATCAACTGACTGTCATAAACAGTGAACCACAATACAGCATAGTGGAGCTAACATATCACTTCACGGCACACACACACACACATAAATAACTTTCAAAATAATGGGTAAAATACTTAGGGAAAATATCTAACCTACCGAAAATCAATCATATTACTATACCCATGATATATATTAATGATATATTAATGCAATACTTCCTAAGAAAGTAGAATAGTTACTTGCACATTTCTTTTATTTCCATGTTTCAGTATACGAACACAATCCTTCCTACAAAAGTGGAATATTTAGTTGCATATTTGCGTTATTTCCATGTTTTAGTATATGAATGAAAAACTCCCTAAAATATAGAATAATTACAAGAACAAGGTATTAACTGGAGACTTTGCGCTGGTCAAAATTTCTCAATTATTAATCTTGTGTACATGAAAACAATTACATACATGTTTAATCGTACATTGAAGCTTTGGACTTTATGCTTAATCTGACTCGCATTTTAGCTGAACGTTTTTACAATTTCGTCTATCTTTAGCAAAACAATGGTTGTTTTGAATCTAGTGACATTTCATCTGATTACACGTGCGATTGCCAAATATACTCTGAAAGAACTGATGTGTCACGGCTCATTCAATTGTGATTATACTTGGCTTAATGTAAATTTATTTTCATGCATATTTGCTCCACGTTCTCGTTTAAAATCATATAGATATTTTGTTCAGTAGTCTCTTCAAAATTATTTTTCGTAGCAATTTGTAATGCAGAATTTGTTAGAACATTATGAAGAAACAGCCTCAGACTTATATGTAGGTGCCTCTGGTGACTCAACGGTAGATGTGGTGAAGCCTTATAACGCAAAAAAAAAATCTGTTTTCAATACCCGAGGTGGGCAGTGCACAAATGGACCATTGTGGTGCTTTGTGCTTAACAACAAACAAAGATCCGAGTACTTCATGATTTTGTAGTTTTATATTTTCAAACTTCTTTGCAAATGTAGCACAGGAGACTTTATCCTTAAATTTAAGATAAAATTAAACACTTATAATGTTGAGAGTACTTGGTAATGAAATCAAAAACAGTTACATTGCTGATTATTTGGAAATAATGTCTTTAATTCGTCACTTTTCATTGCATTATGTCTAACTTACATTACTCCGCTTCTTGGAATCATTTCCAGTCTTGCATTTTCAAACACACTTTTGAATATGTGTGCTTTTATGACAACTGGTTGAAAGAAAAATCGTATGTAAAGCAAATTATAACTACATTGATTTTTATGATATTGATTAATCAGTATTAAGAGCCCGGCATGGCCAGGAGGTTAGGGCGCTCGACTCGCAATCTGAGGGTCGCGGGTTCGAATCCCCGTCACACCAAACATTCTCGCCCTTTCAGCCGTTGGGGCGTTATAAAGTGACGGTCAATCCCACTATCCGTTGGAAAGAGTTGCCGGTGGGTGGTGCTGCTTTCTCTCTAGTCTTACACTGCTAAATTAGGGACGGCTAACGCAAATAGCCCTCGTGTAGCTTTGCGCGAAATTCAAAACAAACAAACAAATAGTATTAAGAAAACGAATATATTATTCATTTCAAAGTAATGTTAAATATGATTTTGATTTGAGCACAAAATCCTGAGCAAAAATATTTATATACTTGAATAACTATTATATTATTTATATTGATGTTATTATTTGTAAACTTTGCGGTGGTTTATGGTACTACTTTCGCTTATTGCTAATATACTGTCAACTATATTAGAGTTAATTAGATAAATAAAATCATTTAAAAACTGAGGATTCAGATACACTAAATTCTCAACTGGTTGATAAAACGTAACTAATAAAAAGAAAGAACAGAACTTAGCTTGTTTTGCTTTGCTTTTTCACATACTATATTTCCTATGGATACACTTGGAAACATCTTTTCTCAGCATAGATAAAAACCTACTTCACTCTGGTTAATGCATTAATGTTTTTCAGTTGAGTCAGTTAAACAATTAAAATATTTTATTCTTAATAAGTCTTTATGATTATTTTGATTTGCCTCTTGTACTGGGGTTAAACGCGCTTCATAAGAACTATGTTTTATACACGTGTTGCCCTTGGAGCTGATTCCTCCATCGTATGTCAATTGTATTCAGTCTAATTGGTATGAGAACGCGCTATTATCAAACACTGCAATTTCTGCTGCAACAAACTTCTGTCAAGGATGGCGAGATCGACCTTAAATCACGCATCTTGGCAATTTTTTTCCTACAAACCCTTCACTACACATGAATCGGCATATCAAGGAACTGAAGTTATTTGTTGTTGAACTAGGGGTCTAAGTATACAGTCGAATAGAATGGGCCTTGATTTCAGTTGTGTTTTTGTTTCTTTATGCATTCCTCATGAAAACAACCATTGATTTCTTATTTTGGTTGGAATCTTGGGAACTTTTGGCTTGTGAACCTTCATCAACAAACTGTCCTTGTTTATCAACTTGTAGACGATACCAACTGTAATGAACTTCATCATAATTGTTTTTGGGTCGAATTTTTTAATTTTATAACCATAGCCTTCACATTGGACACGAAGACATTGATCTCGGTGGGCTGTGGTGTAATTTCGGAGACCGTTGCTGTCTTAACCAAACATACAAGTATGTGGGTTTTTCCGTTTCACTGGGGAGCAACACAGACTCCCTTCTTCAAAATGTTGTGTCTTTTGGCTTAACATGGAAAGAACTGTAACATATTCCTTCAGCCATAAGTCCATTCTTGTGTCATTGCACTGCTAAATATTCCGGAACACGTCATGAACCAAAAATAAATACGTCTCCACTATATTAGCATATTCAGATTGTTCCTATAAGCTTAAGGTGTGTTGAATATTGTTATACAACCTCATACTTATGTTCCAGTCATGTGTTGAATATTGTTATACAACCTCATACTTATGTTCCAGTCATGTGTTGAATATTGTTATACAATCTCATACTTATGTTCCAGTCATGTGTTTAATCTTGTTATACAACTTCATAATTATGTTCCAGTGATGGAAAATTGACTTATCCATGTTCACTTGTTTACGTTGTGTATTTGTGTAAATAACTAAAATTGCGGTTAATGTTCGTGAAATTTATAGACTTTGTTTCAGTATTTAATTCGATCTATTTTTCAATAATGGCATTTTTTTCTTCAGTTGCTAAGTTTATTAGACCTCATTAAGTTTTTCTCACTAACTTAAATAAAATTGAATTTAGGTCAAGGTCGGGTAAATCAGTTAGGTGGTGTCTTTATCAACGGCCGACCTCTGCCCAATCACATTCGTCTAAAGATTGTAGAGATGGCTGCTGCCGGAATCAGACCTTGTACGATAAGTCGTCAACTAAGAGTGTCGCATGGTTGTGTATCCAAGATTCTCAACAGATATCAGGTAAATCCATCTATTTGTCAAGCTTAATGTTTGGAAATTTTCAATATTTTCAGTTCTTACAAAAGCGTACATTAAGACTTTGATTGTAGTTGAAACTGTGTTGTGTATTTTAATATAATTGTCTAGCAACAACTGCTTTATTGTAATACTTAGAAATAAATAGAATAAACTAAAATTGAATAAAAATCCAATTAAACCAGATGGAGATATGGAGCCCTCAGAAACTATACCTTACTTTTTTAAAGATTCATCTTAACAAAGCGCTTTGGATATCGGGTTTCTTAAATTGTCATTTATCTATAACAGTTTAATAATAAGTCTTCACATTTTCGTTATGGTTTTGTGGTGTTTGTTAATCCCCATCCCAGCTTGCATGTGCTATGTTTGTTTGTAGCGCACAAATCACTCCAGTTGTCTTTTACACTTTCATTGGAGATCTGTATAAAGGCTTTAAGATGCCAATGAGAATGTAAAAGACGCTGTCTGTGATTGTTGTGAAGCGCTCTGTGAACTATGGTGTTTCTGCAACTGATAATGATGTTGATATTTAACGGTCACTGTAAAGCAAGAGATTAGTGACTTTTATTAACTTTTGTAGGCTGCACACCTCTCAGTTATCATTTTGTACATTTTGGGAAGTTTTAAAAGCATATCTAGCTTGTAAGCAGTCATCATTAGGTTTTGTTCTTCCTTTGGGTAACAGTTAATTCTTAGAGGTAATCTACATTTTCAAAGTAAATTCTTTTGCTCAATGGCATGAGAAGTTATGGTGAATGATGCTTTTTTTCTTAATTTTTTTATACGACGTTTCCATCTTAATACCTAAGAAAAGACTGAGACCTAAACGTTGTATGTGAAGGAGAATCCCATAAAAACCACTTCACCAACATATCGATTGCACGACCTTCAGCTATCTGGATAGGAGATACAAAACGTGATATACTTTTATCTTATGTCTGAAAAGAATTAATGTTTTAATAAGTTTAAGGAGAGTTCCGAATCAAGTTAGTATTCTAAGCAAAGAGACATCCAGTTTCCAATAATACTCCCACATACCAGGACAGCGTGTGGTATTTGTATGTTATAAATGTTTACGTAGGTAAATAGAATTCTATTTAAACGATTAACACCCAGAATTGGTTATTGTTGTTCAAACATCATATACTACAGCACTTTTAAGTTTATGTCATAATTTACTGAAAACGTAATTGGGAAAAATTAGTGGACAAACATAATGGCACAAAGCTACATATTCTTATATGAGCGTATAATTTAACTGATATTACGAAAATCAGTTTTAAGTAAAACGGAAAGGAGATCAATTTATTCGCACCCAAGCATGGTGTTAATAATAATAACTGAAAAACTATTTAAAAACTTAATGGCGATCTTAGACCTACAAAGTATTGTGTTATTGGCATCGTATTTTGCAGCGGTGTATTCATATGCTTTGAATGCATGCAGAAAAAAGTATTTTACACATAAAAAATCTACCTTTAACTACATACGCTACAATATACAAAAAGAAATACATATTGTAACATAGTTTAATAGCCTAAAATAAAATTATGAGGGCCTATAGATATCTTTATATGTAATTACTGTCGTAAAACGTTAGTACTTTTTTACAGACTATTTTCGACGAACATTCACTCAAGTATCTTGTCAGAGAGCATATCACTTAGTCTACGTGTTCAAAGTCGTATCGCAAACAATAAATAAATGAAACACAAGCTGGTCAGATTCAAAAGATCAGCTGTGACATGACAGAACACAGTTAAAACGTGGGCATTTATTTGTACGTATTATTCTTATAATGGGTACCTGTGTTAATACTTATGTCACATTGATAGCTATAATTTTATAATACGTCACTAGGATTTTATATACCTGAAGGGTATTATATGAACTATATATCTGTCGGTATTGAAGTTTTAGGCTGGTATATAAACATAATAAACTTTTTGATTAATAAGATCTGGGTTATACTTCACCTAAATACCATAAGTAAAATTGATTAACAAAGGGCAATATTTTCTTTATTTATTTTTTTTTGCCTCAGGAGACCGGCAGTATTCGACCAGGGGTTATTGGCGGATGTAAAACTCGAGTGACCAATCCTGATGTGGAGCAGAAAATAAAAGAATACAAAAAAGAAAATATAGGTATTTTCAACTGGGAGATCCGCGATCGTTTGATAAAGGTAAATAAAAATATATTTGAAATCACGTACGTTCTTTTAACGTTACTCCATCAAAAATTGCACAACCAACATGTTGAATTTTCCTAAATTACGTAGAGGTGTTAGTAACCATTCGGTATTCTCAGGTGAATTAGACTGGATAGCAAAGTATTAAAAATCATAAAACGGTAGATTCGATAGGATTTGTATGTGAAGGATAGAAAAGTCTGAAAGTCGGAAATGAAGAAATGGACGTAAAAGGATTTCAAAAATTAATTATACAGTACACACACACACATAAAAACGTGCACAAGTCAACTGTGTATAGGTAAGTGAAACACTATAGTGAACAAGGTCTTACACTACATTTGCAGGCTGTTTATTTCTGCAGCTGGGCAGAATTTCAGACAACGTTTGAGTGAGAGCTATCCGTTCTTATGATCTAATCCTTTAGCTTTACGAATACTTGTCACAATCATCCACGTCATCGGAAAATTCAGACCATTTAAAGTTTGAATTTCGCGCAAAGCTGCACGGGCGCTATCTGCGCTAGCCATCCCTAATTTAGCAGTGAAAGGCTAGAGGGAAGGCAGCTAGTCATCACCACCCACCGCCATCTCTTGGGCTACTCTTTTACCAACGAATAGTGAGATTCATCGTTACATTATAACGCCCCTCCCCCACGGCTGAAATGGCGAGCATGTTTGGTGTGACGGGGATTCGAGCCCGCAACCCTCAGATTGCTAGTCGGGCCCCCTAACCACCTGGCTATGCCGGGTCAATTCAGATCAACAGCAAAGAGAAACCAGCTATTCTCACTTCTATGACTCCATATACACCCAAAATACTAGACAATACACTAAGATCAGTAAATAAGGCAAACGAAAAAATACAAGTCCCGGGTCAAATCACTCAACTCTAAAGGCAGTATCAACGTAGTTTAAAGCTGGTTGCATTCTGTTCATCAAGCACTTGCAACCAAGTATATAAACAAGTGTTAAAATTAAAAAAACTCTTCTGAATAAAAATATATTCGTCTAGTATGTTATAAAATACTTAATGATATTTACATATTACAACTGTTTACTTGATCACTCTTGAACGAATATGATTCTCAAATAGTTACAAAGGGTGTTTTCGCCCTAACTAATAACTGAATTTTCTGAGAGGGCCTTCCTCTCGTCATGCTATGTGTATTACAAGTATTATTCCTTGGCAAGTTCAAATATTAAAATGATTTAAAATTCAGCTTTGATAGTTAAAAGGTAAGTACGCTGTTATTTCGCGTTTTATGCGTAGAAAAGTTTACAGAAAAGAAAATAAACGAGTCGTACATTTCTGTGCTTACCTTAGCATAGCAATCTTACTATTTGTCTCATTAAGTTTCTCTTTGAATTTGCGACTTTGTTGTAACATGTTTTCAAACGTTTTTGTTAGTTTTTCGTAATGAAAATTACAAGACGTTACATGTTTGTTCATATAATGTGATCTTCTTATTGGAAACCATTCTGAATAAGTTAGGTAGCCTTTCTGATGATTACGGTAGTCAAAGTTCAATTTCCTCTCTGATTTGATTTCTAAACATTACGGGGTCGTAGAATATCATGTTTTGTGTTTTATTTTTCAAAACGAGACTATTCTTCTTCAGGAGAATGTTTTGGGTTTGAGAGTATAAGGTTTGATGTGGAGTCAGCATGAAAGCCTGTGATTATAAACATAACTGTATAAATTGGTTTTTACTTAGCTTCGTATGTGATACGATATACAAATGTTCCGTAAAGACGTTTCTCGGTTGGACGTTTCAACGTTAAGCTGTAACTTAATTGATAGTAAATATCTCTCCCATAACATCTTTATGAAGTACGTAGGTGGCGCAAGTATTCCGCAAGAAAAAATAAAGAGTCACAGTTATTTGTTTTGTTATTTAATTATTGTCATCATTATAATCGTTAAACATACTAGTTATTTCATGGGTTGGGCGTGGCCTTTGTAGCTAGTGAAACAGGCTGCACTGAAGTTCGAGACGTGATGCTGCTAAACACACGCTGTACTTTCAAATACGGCGCGTTATAACAATGAAAGTCAACTCTGTTATCCGATTCAAAAGAGCAGGACAAAATCCTTTGACGGCGAGTGCTGCTGGGTGGCTGTCCTTTCTCTGGTAAGTGGTTTAAAATTAGTAATGGCTACACCTGAACCTTAGGGGTCTCTGACCTGGCCATCTAGCTCACGTGAGTTTAAGGTGCTGTTTCCGTATAAAGTTCCATTTCCTAAATCTATTTTTTATATATTTTACAATTATCATAAACAGAATGACCTTGAAAACTAGCCTAAGTTTAATATTTTAGTTATAGAACAGATTTTACAATTAAAACCGGGGATCATTTTACAGTTGGGGATTTATAGCAAGTACAAGTATACAACTTCTGTTGTTAAACAAATAATTCTAAGTCTTCGAAAGTCTATATTATATGTGCGTGTTACAAGTTCTAACTTAGATAGCATACTAATTGTTATGTTGTGTTCCATAGAATCATACGTGTGTGGAGGCTCTAAATTAACACAATAAGTGTTATGGTGTTCCATAGAGCAGTGTGTTTAAAGAGTTCTATCTTACTTGCTAAACCTTTCTTCTTTCACGGGACAGTGTGTGTGGCAAGTCTTACTTTCATGATCACACTCACTCACTATATGTTCAAATTTTCCAATGGGCAGGAGTTTGACAGCTCCTTAAGTGATCTAATTGTCCACAAAACTAGCTTTGTCGTTAGTTTTATTCTAGTAATCATAAAAACCACATGCTTGAACTGCCCACAGGACGAGGTGTATGTGTGTGTGTGTTTCAACTTTAATAATTAGTTATCACACTAATTATGTGTTTAAAAACGACTCACAAATCAGCGTATACATCTGTTTACACTTAGCTGTCATACTAATTGTATCTTCTCATTACTTACAGGTATGTTTATGCGTGTTTGGGGGCCTATTCATACTTTAATCATTACGTCATTTATATGTTTTTGATTACCCATAGGATGGAGTGTGCGACAAGAATTCTGCACCAAACGTAAGTTATATTAACCGAGTTCTCCGAGGTGATATGCAACCAGATGATTCGAATGACTATTACAACAACTGTGAAGGATACAAGAAGGCGGACCACAGTATTGATGGAATTCTGGGTGGTGAGTTAGTCTCTTGTTTTTCTTTTTCGCTGATATTAATTCCGTTTTTGTTTCATATTTCTACACGTGCGGTTGTAAATTAAAAATTACACATATACCCATACTCTGTCGATTACGGCATAATTTTCACTAACTCTAATCTCTGTTTTGATATTTGCTCTGTGAAAGTGTGATACTAAGTTGTTATATAATGGTTTATCGATTTTGATCTCCAAATAAGTGATTATTATACGAAGAAAATCTCATCAACCTTTAAGGGCAGCTTCTTAAACCCTGCATCTTTTTTATTCTTTATTTTATACATAGTAATTGTTGCAAACAAAAATTGCTTTAACCATCAAATTCAAAAACAAAAATTATTGTTGTTCTTAGGTGTTGCTAGGTGCAAAGTTACACAATGGGCTATCTGGGCTCTGCCCACTATGGGCATCGAAACCCGAATTTTAGCGTTGTAAGCCTGCATACTTACCGCTGAGCCATTGAGGAGGGGACTTCGCTAGTTGTAACAATCGGTGTTATCATGTTTGAATTCTTAGTGATTGGTAAAGAGTTATTTGTTTTTAAACGCACAGCTGCACAATGGGCTACCTGCACTGTGCCTACCGCGGGTAGATTGATATAGGGCAGTTTAGTAAAACTTAATGTGATTTCAGGCAAGCTTTCGTGTTTTCTGTTACTTAAACTTTTAATTTCATCAAATTTATAGTATCTTACTTTTGAAAAGGCCATATAATTATCAGTTTGTACTTGAAATTAATCAAGTCTTTCCTCACTCAAATTATTTTTATGCCGAATTGTTTTTGTTATTTTTTTATCTATTCACAAGTGATGCTAATGCATCATTTGCTAACGTACACCATTACATTATCTAAGGACTTACGGCCATATTTAAATATTCAAAGTGTATGTTGTATAATCTTGTAGTATCTTCTCGTACTTGTATCCCATTATAAATGCATTTGTGCTATTCTTAGCAGTTGTGTGATCAAACTGGTAGAAAAACACGGTATGAATCAGTACTGCCATTCAGCAAATAGTACATTATTTATAGCAGGTTTTAGTTTAAGTTCACTTCGACACTCTAAAAGCACGCGGTAAAAATTACACGCACTTATTGTCACATAGCGTTGTTGTAATATCAGTAAAACAACTGAAAAGTCCCACATCTTCTAAAAGATGGCGATTAGAAACACGGGCACATAAAAGATACAAAGGTGGTTCTTTTTAAAATAAAGAAAACCAAAAAAGTGGAGCTTTGTGGACCCATCTGCTGATAAACCTCTCCTGATAGAGAGATAAGCAAACAATACTTACAAGTGTAGGGATAATAAAATAATGATATATTCCTCTAGAGATTGTTTAGGTTATGTGTATAAGTGTAACCTTAAATTAAAAGTCTTATCCTTGGAATGTTCTGATGCTTATACAATAATAATAAAATAAATAATGTTCGTCTCTTTCATTTTTGACTTAAATGTCGTCCAGTGTTATTTCACAAACACATCAGCGACCTTGTGTACTTTGAACAAAGATCCAATGAAAAATGAAACGGCTTTGTTACGAAACGTATTGAATAAGGCATTTCGAATCGTTATAAGTTAGTGTATTATAAATAAATGTATTATACATGTAAATATATATCAGTCCTTTCATCATAAACCTGAAGAGGCTTTTCTTTTGATTTCTCAAAGAAAGTATTTGTACAGCATTCTGTATACATTACATTTCTGCCCTATTTATCTGTTGAATCGGTCAATACGTATCTATCTATATATACATCTCTCCTCCGTTTTATATACATATGTATTTAATATATTCGAATTTGCACCAAAAGTGAAATATAACTATCTCATGTGAAGTGGTGAAATAACGCTTTGAATTTTTCAGTGCTTTAAATCTCAATAAAGTTAATAAGGCAGCACATGTATTAAAATGTTTGAGATTTGGCAGAAGATACGGTAAATATGCGATGTTACAACGTTGTATATTAAGTTATAATATAACTATAGCAAGTGTGGCCGATACTACGGTAATTACATTACAACACTGGAGAGTAATATGTATATTATACAATTCATATATTAGAAATTTAAGTAATTTGCATATGTACTTTCATTGAGTGGTACATAAAGCATATCATATTGCTAAAAATCAAACCTTACTTCAGTTTACAACTTTTTATGGTATTAATAATAAAAAAACTATCTGTAGAGTTCATAATCGATCTTATATTTATAAATGGATAATCATTTTGACCTGATATAATTAAGAATTATTTCTAGGAGACAATAAAGATATCGTTCACATATTCTTGAAAATTAAAAGTCAACGTTTATTTTATTATATGGGAAAGCTTTTTTATCAAAGGTATTTTATTTTCTGTGTAAATCTATTTCTTCACTCCACTTTCCAAGAATATTAAAATCTGAAGGTAAAGAAAATAAAATGTGTGAAAGGATTGTAAGAGAATACATAAGTTAGTATTGATCGTATAATACAGCCATACGCATATAATAGCGCAAATATATAAATTTGGGCTCAGTGATATTAATATACTTTAATGGTTATATAATAGTTGTTGTAATACAGTGCATTTTATAGAACATAGTCTTCTCTAAGGTTGTTAAACAGTTTAGAGCAAAAGGACACAATATTTCAAAAAACTGGCACGACAAAGCGTCTACAACAGCAAACGATTTTAATACCGCTTCCCACTCATCTGTAAAGTGATTAAAGAAGGAGACAAAAAATGTCATTGCAATGAAGCGGAAATACCTTCTGGTACAATTAGTAAGATAATAACCAAAGATCTGAAGTTTTTGAAGACTTACAAATCAGAGGTTCGCTTCACAAGCGTCCAGCCACATCTCGAAATCAAAAGCTGTTTCCAAGAGAAAGAATAAGGGCAATAAAATTGGAATTGTAGGAGTACTATTTGATCACATAATTGTCAATTCGAAACACAGCATAGGACCTAGAGTGTCGTTCTTATAAATGGCAGTTAATTCAGCTCTACTGGACACTGAATTTCACTTCCCGAAATTGGCTGGTAATTATAATAAGGAATAAAATCAGTTTTTCTGCCTAAGGACTTTCAATTTTGTAAATTGCGAGAAATGTTAAAACTTCACTTTTAATGCGTCTCCCGGATTAAGATCCAATATATATATATACACATACACTTGCCTAAATATATTTGGTTTTGGTAAAATTAACAGCCAGTCTGTATGTCTTAAGTAGTACTTAACAATAGTAATTCTTTTAATACAGTGTATTTTAAAAGATATGGTTTTCTACAAGAATTCTGAAACCTTATTTCCAAATGAAAAATATCCAAACGTGCATGAAAGAGCTGTAAAAGGATGCAGAAGTTATTACTGGCCCTATAGTACACCCTTGCGAGTGAAACGAAAATGTTTAGACATAGATACTTAACTAGTGAATTGGCACGAGTTCACTATGAATAACTTTGTATATTCTGATCACAGGCGCAAATATTAAATGAATAACTCCTGTCTCATGAGGAGAATGTTTTGATTTTTGCCTTCATGTGGGAATGAACATGGTGTGTCGTTCACGCATATTGAGGCTTTAGATGTTATGTTTTTCCACCAGATGTCACATCGTTCTTTTCACTGATTAGTCTCAGCAATATCAGTACTGAAGCATAAAGAAACTATTGATAAAATTACGTTTGTGCATCTGCTTTTTGCCATGGTGATTTATCAGAGGAGATCACTATGAATTACCCGACCTGTACCTGTTAGGCTATCACCACTAACATTGGTTCGTTGATTTCAATACCTACATTGGTGTTAGCAATCAACTATAGCGAATTAGATTTGAAAGAGAAGTTAGCGGCCAAGTTGAATAGATCGCTACGCTGATTTTGGGGGTTTTCTCTTGTCGTCACTAGAGGACGGCAACAACGGAAGGTATCAGTACAGATGTAAGCACACGCACTCTATACAACTACAGGCATTGCACGTTATTCTTCAAACTCGTTTACGGCCAAAACGAGGACCCTGAATTACCAATGTGTGAATTATAGTTTCCGGATCGTCATCTAGCGAGTTTTTACACTACAAGATCATTATTTACTCGATGACTAGAGGTTAAAAACCATGTATGCTGCAAAGCTGCTTGGGTCCATGCATATTATACATAACAAAAAACTAGACATTGAAAGATGTCTAACATAAAATTCCAAGCTCTCATTTCATGCATCAAGCTACAAACCATTCTTCGCAATTGGCTGAGCCGTAACATTTTACAAACGTATCTCACAAACATGAAACATATTTGATCATAAAATCCTGATCAATGGAGTATTGCTATATCGATGATGGAAAATATTATCCAACATTACATTCACAATGGTTAAGGAAACAATGTGAATTTTGCTTACCCACACACACACCTGTACTCTAGAATCCTTACAGAAGTTACAAGCATTTCTAGCATTCTTACTTGAATTATTTATAATTGTTCTTTCATGCACCACTTAATGTTTCGGTGATTAGATATCTATAGATATCCCATTTTTTACCGTTTGTGTAAACCAGTGATTTTCGTTAAGCAGAGGTCTGTGTAGTTTCCATAGTATAAAGATATTACACGTGGCTGACAAATATCTTTCTTTCTTACTTTTAAATTTCTACCTGACTCTAATGCCGTTTAGCGCTTCCTTTGCAGTACACTTTAAAAATCACTGTTAGTTTTTTTATCTGTGAAATACAGATTATAGAACTCTTAGAATTGATTTGTATAGCTATACTGGAAGTATCATTTACCATAGACTCTGAAAAAAATCAAAAATCTTAATAAAGCACCGGTCACTTCTGTCACATGTTAGGGTATACTTTTGTACAAGGACCACTTGTTACTGAAAGGCTGTGGTGTGAGGTCAATTTTTTGGTCCTTTATTACCAGAGCTACTCTTCTGTTTCGTGTAATACGTTTCACCAATAAAAGAACGGTATTTACGACATTTCAAGGAA